CTTGTGTGTATTTACACGTGTGTTGTTGTTGTTTTCTTTAGTGTGTGTTAGTGAGGCCAAGCGAACATGCAGCATTAGTCTCTGACACTCTGGCAGTGAAACCGTGCGTCAGGCATCAGTTCAGTTGGAAATCAGAATCCAGTAAAACGGAACAAGGAGGTTTTCTTGCTACTGTGACACACGGAGGAGGGATCCTGCCACAGAACTACAATAAATACACTCATCTAACTGTAATCAATCACCGCGACGCGGCGGCCATCGACCGCTGGGAGAACGATCGATACCCGAGAGCTTAAAAACAGCGTTTATACACTGAAGTCTGAAAACGGCATCGACGTCTAACGAGGTTTCTCTTCAGGGTGCATCTCATTAGACGTACATCCGCTCACGCTGGTCGTCTGATCGACGAGGGGTTCGCATTCGGTAAAGTCTCACCTCCAGTTCACGGTGACAGTTCAAAGTGGAGGGCTTAGCGGCTAAAGAGTTTCCCTCAGGAGCTGGTGGAGACCAAACATGGAGCTAAAACACGACTGAAGGAACGTCATTGCTGTTTAAAATCATCCTTAGTAAAGTTGTCGAGAAGATGCCTTTTATTTAACTGCATAAAAAGGTGGACAAGGACTTAGGCTTTGATTAGATTCACGCCTCGCTGAGCGCAGTGGAGCATTTAGCAGCTAAATCGCTGGTGGAGACCAAACATGGAGCTAAAACACGACTCCAAAGTAATGTTGTGCTGCAGAATGTCATGGTTCGGCTTTACCAGTTTCTGTAACCGTCGTGGTCGTTTAATTATCTGTTGCTAGAAGTTGCCAATTAGGTCTTAATTTGCCAAAAAGATCCAATAAAGGATTGAGCTTTGCTGAAATTACGTCCGTAATTAAGCATCGTGGAGCATTTAGCAGCTAAAGAGCCGGTGGAGCTAAATCCTGACTCCAGCTACGGGTGGGCTCATTTAGTTGCATTTTTAGAAACCAAACGGTGAAGCGGCTGCATCAAAATATAGAAACGCGTACGCTAGAGGTTCAGGAAGAAAGAAAATTTAACTGAAGACGATCTTTAAATCGTCCACATAAAGACCGAACGAGTTGATTCTTGCAACAGAAAGCGTCGACTCTGTTCTGTCTGATGGATGGATTGAAGTCTCAGCACGTCCCTGATATCTGCACTGAGAGCCGACAGGTTCCTGATCGATACGACCGACCCACGACGGAGGGACTCGTCAACGCGTCTTTCTTTTAAAAGCGACCGAAGCTCCTCGCTGTAGCTGCACTCCGCCGTTGCGTCTTCACACCGACGCTACCGAGTTTTAAGAAGTCCTACGTTTATTGTAGTTCTGTGGACACGAACAGAAGAAAACAGCAGGACAGACATTTACCCGGTTAGACGGTAAAACGTCCGGTTGGAGCTCACAGGTGAGAACACGACTCTTCTAACAAAACATCTGGTTATTAGCAGTCATGGTACAGTGACGGGTTTTTTTTTCTGTGTGTCTTTTCAAAAAAAAAAAAAAAAAGAAAATTCATTTAGTTCACACATCTAATAAAAAAACAAACAAACAACAGTTTTACAGTATTTACCTGCAGCCATGTCGGAAAGAGAAATGTTCTAAAACTGCAACGTGTAATACTCAATAAGTTAAAAAATAATTTAAACAACACATTTAAAATGAAAACGTAAAAGACGGTTTAAAAAAAACAACAAACTCTTTACAACAAATACTGGAAGTAAAGGAAAGAAGAAGAACAGAAGTAGAAGCAGAAGAGAATTTACACGTCGACATCATTGTATACAAAAGCCGATTGTTCAGCTCAGTGTTAGTGACCAGTGATATAAACTCTGAGGGAATATTCATAGTAGTTAATAAATATGCGAGTATACAATAGGAAGAGGAAGAGGAGGAGGAGCAGGGGACAAAAACAGAGCAGGAGACAGACGAGGAAGGGGGAAGCTGGATAGTCTCTATGGCTTTTACAGGCTTCTGTGGCCCAAATAACCGTAAATATCAGGAGCTACGAACGCCCACCGACCCTCCGACTGAACGCTGAGCGGAGCGCTGAGAAGAGCCGACTTTAGGAGAGAGAAGTGGGATCGTTGGAAAACGATGACGCTGGTGCAGAGTTTTCTGCATAATCAGGCAAACGGACGGATGTTTTCTTCACGTCTCTGCACTTTTTATTCAAGAGGCAGCTCATGAAGTGGAAACTGAAGTAAAGTGAAATTTGTCTCATAATTGGCCACTAGCGCGTTTTCCTGTGAAGTTTCTGACACCGTCACGTGCCAAGTTGTGAAATCTAAATCTGAAAAGTACCGTTTTAGTATATTAACGTATGTTTTTCTGCTGTCAGCTTGCCGAGGTGTCTCCATTTCCAGGATCACACAGGTTTAAAGTCGACGTTAACTCATCAAAACAACGACTAATATCAGTCGATAACCTCGGTCAGCGTGGTCACGGTAATCCTCTGTGCTTCAGTAGAAGGTAGCTGGACTTCTGCTTTTTGGTTCCTGAAGGTGTTTTTTTTATCCTCAGGTCTGACTAACTGGTGCAGAGGTCGAGGTCTTTATCTGGGGTCGGTCACCTTTGGGTAAAACCACCTGGTCAGGGATCTCAGGACTGAGTTATACGTACTCGACAGGTGGTGTTGACCTAATTTCCCTGATTCTAGTCGACTGGTGCAGAGGTCTAGGTGTTTATTTAGGGTCATCTTTGGGTTTAAACCACCTGGTAATGGATCTCCGGAGTGCATTAATGGTACCTATTGAGTTGTGATGTCGACCCCTTTCCCTGTTTTGACTGTAACTTGATTCTAATTGACTGTTACAGAGTTTCAGGTATTTATTTACGGCCACCTTTGGGTAAAACCACCTGGTCAGGGATCTCAGAACTGAATTATACGTACTTGATAGGTGCTGTTGACCTAGTTTCCCTGACACTAATTGATCCTAAAGGTGTGTATTTAGGGTCATCTTTGGGTAAAACCACCTGGTACTGGATCTCAGGAACCTGGTGAGTGGGGTTATTGACTCTCTTCCCCTGTTTTGACTTTAACTTGGTTCTAACTTACTGGTGCAGTGTTGCAGGTCTTTATTTACAGACACCTTTGAGTACAACCGGCTCGTCGGGGATCTCAGAGCTGCATCATAAGCACCCGATAGGTGGTGTCGTAGACCCCGTTACCATGGTTTGAGATGTCCAGAATGTGGACGTCGCCGTCCTTAAAGGAGCGTCCCGTATCTTTAAGTTGCAGGTTAACTGCAGAGTCTTTTCCTGAGGAGGTCCTGTGGGGCTGCGGAACCACTTATCGGGTGCGAATGATGCAGTCCTGGCAGTTCTACCACCATCTGCAAAACCCAGCTGCCTTCTACTGGATGCACTGTACCTACAAACAAGACAGAGACATGAAAACATCCAGAGGTTTGTCTGAATATGGAGAAAAAGTCTTTTCAGATGTGATTGTGTTGCTTATCTACAAGGGGAGAGTAAAGAGGAGTCGGTGACCCTGAGTGGATCGAGCCATTACAACCACATGGTGATCCATCAACCTTAGAAAGCTGCTGTACAGGATTGTCGTATTGTATCAGGCCCGCTCGCCTCGCTTTGGGGCTTTAAAAGCTTCTCTAACTTTGTTTTTTAAAATTGCTACTCGAAGAAAAAGCCGACGGGTCGAAGAAGCAAGGTGGATGGATGTTACTCTTCATCTTCTGTTTGCTCTTGATTTGTTTTTCCCTCGCCGAGCTTAAATCGAAATCTGCGTGTAAATCTGGAATCCTCCCTCATTTCCTTCCTGATAGGCTTGACGGGAGCCACCGCAGCGGGTTTGGAGGTAATTACGGCCGCTGATTTGTTTTTTCTTTAGGTTATGATTTAGAAAGAAAACTCAGTCATAATCAGAATCCAGTTTTTCTTTTTTTAGGGCTTTTCCATTAGCCGGGGTGCAGCGGAGTTTCTTCTTTTTGTGTTTATTTGAGTTGTAGATGCGGTCAGGATGCACAACAAGTTGACTGAAGTTGCTCCCCTCATTCATCAGCACCTGAAATACTCCTCGGTTCAACTAAACAGCGACAACTAAATACTACACCTAATGAACAACACGTTTAGTGACATGCATGTAGAGAACACAAGTTTTCTCCGACTTCTGGCCGAATGTCAGCTCGATGGAACGCTGGGAGGAGCTCCTGAACAAGTCTTTGTCATGGTCCTGTTGCTAGCTAAACTCCCACAATGCTCTCTGCTGAGTGCTCTGGTCTCTACAGGATTAAACAGTGAGAGGCTCCACCTGGTGGAACAACCAGGTACTACAGTTAAACTCAAAGACATCTTCACGCTTCTCCAGAACGTCTCAAAATTGGTCTAAAATCCTCAAAACTTCTCAGAATTGAATTTTCCACAAAAAAAAAAAAGTCTTGAAAATGATGAAAGTTTTGTTGGAAATTATTCGAAACTTGTCCAAAACACGTTGACGCTTTCTAGCTAAACTCCCACAATGCTCTCTGCTGAGTGACGCCTCCTCTGGTCTCTACAAGATTAACCAGTGAGAGGCTCCACCTGGTGGAACAACCAGGTACTGCAGCTGATCTGCTTGTGATCAGAAAGTTAAAATGAAGGTAAACATTTTAAAGTAATACTTCACCATTTTTCTATTATATCATAAATCAAACCTCTATTCAGTCTGTTCTGGGTAAAACAGCCTGAAAGAGTCGAAAGTTGAAGCTTTAAAGACGTATACTTTGGGATTTATCAACGTTTACGGGTTACCGTTTTTGCTACAGATGCGATCATCCCATGTATGTGACCTGGCTGACCCCGGCGCCGTGGAAAAGCCCTGTTTGCTGCTGCACGTGGCTCCCGTTGGTAATAATCAAAGTCATACATGTTCCAATTATCCCACTTTGATATTTCAAGCAGTCAAGAGAGAGAAGACGTGAACAGTGAGAGTAAGAGTAGGAAAGTAAAGCGGCTCTTCCATCCAACCCCAGCCGGCAGCTACCTCACAGGTCCTCCATCAGTACGGCGCAAACTTCTGTCTCTCCGGCTTCTTCATCCCGTTGGCCGACGAGGAGATCTTGGCCGTGTAGGACGCCAGGGCTGCCGCCGCGTGGGCCGGGACCGGGACGGCCGCCGTCGCCGCCGTCTGCATCGAGCCCGGTAGGACGGGAGCCCCGATGGCTGCCGCCGCCGCCGCCGCCGCTGCTGCTGAGGCGGGAGGGGTGGAGAGTGCCAGGTAGGGGATGGATTTCACCCCCAGGAGGCTGGAGAGGGGAAGGGCGTAGGGGGCGCCCAGGATCGGAGCGTGGGGCAGAGCGGCGCCCATCGCTGCCAGGGGGGAGGAGGAGGAGGACGAGGCGGAGGCAGGGGGGGCGGGCTGGGTGAAGCTCATGGTCAGGTCAACGGGAGACGGCATGGAGGAGGACTGGGCGGTGGATTTGGCGGTCTCTAAACTGGAGGAGGAGGAGGAGGAGGAGGAGGAGGGGTGGGGAAGGGATGGGGGAGGAAGGAGGGAGGTGAAGGGAGGAGGGGAGGAAGGAGGGAGGAGAAGGAGGAGGGTTTGGATGGAGAAGGGTTAGAGGGTTCAAATAAAAGACATGTTAAAAAAATCAAAAGGAAAATGAAACCAAAACAGGATCTCTTACGAAAACAAAAAAATGCAAAAAAAAAAAAAAGAGAAAAGGATAAAAATCTGACGAGAACTGAAAATCAGAAGACAGGTGTGTTTTGTTGGAGGTTGCAACAGATTATTGTAGGGGTTCGCTGTACGGATGGGGGGTGTGCTTTATAAGTTGGGGTGATGGCTTGGGAGGGGGCTTAGGGAGGAGGGAACAAAACCGTTATAGACACATTAGCATCGCAGCTTCATCAGAGAGGAGGCTGCTTCACAGACAAGGAACAGGACGCAGCACAAACCCAGATACTGATTCAGAGAGAAGATCCCAACAGCAGGTCGGCTCTTCAACAACATGCTGACGGTCTAACGTCTCTACAACAGTACATGAGAGAGTTCAGGAGACTTGTTGTTCAGTTAGTCACAGATAAATAAAACCTTCACTTCAGGCCTTTTGGACCAGGAACCACCACAGACCTACAAACTGTTGTGGTGCTTTCTGGTCACAGCATCCACACGTCAAGTGTCGTTCTTCAGTTTTTGTTGTAATTCAGGAAACGTATTTAGAAATCACTTGGATGTCAAATGACTCTTAATAACTGCATTATTTCTAAGTTGAACAGTCGAGTGTTTTCTATCATGAACAATAAAAAACAAACATTTTATAAAGATAACATTAAAAATTCTGGCCCCAAAGTAGAAACTCAAAGCAACAGCAGTGAAACGTCAGGGTTATCAATGGAGACCAGAGTTAGTGTGAAGCTCAGACACTTCAGAACGTCACCTCTGCTTGCACTCAACCACAAAACTTCCAGCTTAAGCTTCACTAAAGAACATGAAGAGAAGCCTGATGGATGCTGGAGAACATTCTCTGGTCAGATGGAGATAAATGTGTTGGGCTCAGATGGAGTCCAGATGTTTGGTGTGAACCTGACCAGGACCACCACAGTGAAGCATGGAGGTGGCAGCATCATGATATGGGGCTGCATGAGGGCAGAAGGTGTTGATGACGTTTATAGATGAATGTCTGAGGATATAAACCAGAACACTGGCTGATAGGATGAAGAAAACCTTTGTGGGTCCTTCAGTTTAAATATCGTCAATATAAACTGTCTTTTAATTTTAAATAAGAGCAAATATCAACTGTTCAACTCAGAAGTAATGCGATTACTGTACAATGACATAAGTTGGAATTATTTAACATTTAACTGGTTTTGCACACGTATGAGCCTCGGCTGAACTTCTGCTTGCAGGAAAAACAAATGAATTCATATTTACAGTGTTTTCCTGTCGCCGGGATGGAAAAGTTACAGCGACCAAGATGTTTTGCTGTAAGACGGACCTGAAACTCTCTGATATTTACATCTGATATCAAACTTCCTGCCTTTAAATGCAGTGAGCTATGGATGGACGTGTCAGAACAGAGGATGAAACATCAGAAAACATTAAAGCCAAACCCCTGAGCTGTCCCATTAATCTGTAGAGCTGTTGTAGCAGCTAACGCTAGCAGCCTGCAGACCTCGCTGTGTCTCATAAAGACGACCACAGACGACACACTGCAGCCCAGTTCCTCTGTCTGGCTGTAATCAGGTTTCTGTGAGTGTACGATCCTCGACCAGAAACACTCGCTGCTGCTTCCTTCTCCCAGCAGAGCTGGTGTCTGACAGGTTTCCTGATTGTACGTGACGGTCCGCGGGGAGCGCGCTCAGAGGCACGAATAATCAGCGGCAGATAAAAGGGAGTCACGTTCCCTTCGTTAGTCTCTGCAGCGACCACACAGCAGCAGCAACACGCCGACGGAAACCACAGAAACGTCAAACATCGACCGACGAGTGTTTCAGTCGCTGAGAGGAATCAGCTACAAACACAAACAGATCAACTGAATGTACAGTCAGAACCAGACGTTTACATCCACTGAATAAAAAGACATAAAAGCTTTT